GAGTGTTGAAGAGGTATAAAGAAGGTCAGAAGGAGTTCCACTGTTTATTTGAATATCTAGAGAAAGCATATGATAGGGTGCTAAGAAAAGAACTGCGGTATTGCAGGAGGAAGTCAAAAGTGGCATACAAATATGTGATTATGAGAGGGTGATGCGATGGATAAAGAAAGCAAGAGCGTGGTAAGGTGTGCAGGTGATGAGATAGATGGGTTCAAGGTAGGGGTGGGATTGCATCAGGGATCAGATGGGAGCCACCTATTTGTGAAGGTGATACACGGGTTGATAGATGAGGTCAGGCAGGAGTCTCTGTGGATTTATGTTGTTCGCAGATGACATTTTGATCTGTTTAGAGAGTAGGGAACAGTCAGCCTGGAAAAGTGGAGGTTTTCTCTAAAGAGAAGAGGAATGAAAAGTCAGTAGAAGCAAGACAGACTAAATGTGTGTAAATGGGTAACAGTGACACTGCAACAAGTACAGGTAATGAAGGTGAAGTAGTTTAAATGTCTCAGGTCAATCATCCAAAGCAAACAGGCAAAGCATGCAGGCCAAGTGGAGTGGGTGGACATGACTGTGTGGGGTTATTTGTAAATAGCAGCAAAAAGGAAGGTTTATAAGGTTGTAGTGAGACCTACTATGATGTATGATTTGGAGACTGGCAATAACAAAAATAAAAGACGCAGAGTTGGAGGTGACAGAGTTTAATATGTTAAGATTTCCATTGGCAGTGACCAGAATGGACAGGATTAGAAATGAGTCTCTCATTTGGACACCTTAGACTGTCCAGTTTGGAGACAAAGTTAAAGAGACTGAGATAGTTTGGACATGTCCAGAATAGGGCTAGTGGATACAATGGACAAAGATAAGGAGCTACCAAGCAGGAGAAAAAGAGGAAGACCTAAGAGTAGGTTCATGTTTGTAGAGGAGGACGATATGCACAGGGATCGTGTGACAGATGTTACAGGGATGGGGTGAGATGGAGGAAGATGATCTTTTGTGACTAAAGAGAGCAGCCAAAAGGAGAAAATAATACTAAATAGTCATATGATAGCTAAGTGTAAATAGTAAACATCTACCACAGTGATTCCCAAAGAGTGTTGTGGGGGGGGCCTGGTGGGCCACAAAGGTAATGCAGGTGGGCCTCAGTAGTAACAGAAATTCTTTTTGAACTCCACTCAGAAAGATCTCAGCCTGATGGTGGAATTAAACACAGGACCTTCTTGTTGTGAGGCAACAGTGATAACCACCATGTTGCCCATAAACAAATATATGTATAATATATTATAATATAATAATATGTATTTATTTATATAAAAAGGTGAACTAAAACTGGTGACAGAAGGTGATCATTTGGGGATATTGTTCCCCTGACCTAAATGTACTGCTCTGTAGTAGTGAAGTTTGAGTAGTGAAAATGTCTATGGTAATGTTTTTTATTAATGTCTGAGTTTGATAAGATAAGAACTAAAATATAAACAACTAAAATAATTTTTAAGATACAGACCTAACTCGGGCCTAGCTGACAACCTGTGTAGAATTGGCCTTGAAAGATGTGAGAGTGAGAGTGTGTGTGTGTGTGTGTGTGTGTGTGTGTGTGTGTGTGTGTGTGTGTGTGTGTGTGTGTGTGTGTGTGTGTGTGTGTGTGTGTAAAGACCTGGTAAAATCTGTGAGTCTTCAGTGTTAAAGGAAAAATGTAACTTTTGATGCCTAAAGTGGGGGTATGGGTGCTTGACTTTATCCTTTTAGAGGGAACCATCATTTTAAAGTAGTGTACGTTTTTTTTTCTGATCAATCACCTCTTCAAGGTGAATTTAACATTTACAACAAAGAGGGTGAAAATAATGTAAGATGGCAGTGCCACTGCTGGCACTGACATCTCAAGTGAGGCCCACTTTAGTGTTTAAGTAGTACACTAAAGTGTTATAAGTTATAACCACAGATTTGAATGACTGTCTTGTAAAAAGGTTTATCAGGAGTTAACTGTCCACTGAGGAATTATCTTTTTTAAAGACACAAATATAACAATATATGATTATTATCTAACAGTATCGAGAAAATTCCAGTCAGCTCGCTCAAATATTGTATTTAAAACAAGAATTATCATAAGGTGAGGTTTTTGATCATTTCAATCAATTTTTCCCTCTTATGAGCTAGTCTTTCTTTTCTTTTGTTCTCTTATGTATTTCTGTTTTTTGCTTTTAATTTTCTTTCCTTTTTCAAATTTGAAGTGATTTGTAGCCATTTAGTAACTATAATCTGTCTTACTTTATCCCACTTTTTTTTTCTGGTTTCCATCTGGTATGGTGCTGTCACAGTGCAACAATCTGGTAGTCATACCTTTTTTATTCAGTAGTGCTTCCATGGTGTAATGGTTAGCACTGTGGCCCTAGAATCCAGTGATCTGAATTCAAAAATTGGTGAGACCTGCTTTTTGGAGATGAAACCATTCTGCATGTCTTCTCTGGCACACCAGAACTGTGCTACAATTGTGTTTTCAGTGAGAGGTGTATAAAATCAAGCAGCTAACCATGACGTCTGTCTTTACAAATACTTGTCAATCACTATGTGGTGCTAAAGAGCGGTCTGAAATTCAGTTGTACACCACACAAAGTTACACGGTGGGGTGTCTGAGTGCTGAGTTGTGCTTGTGCGTAATAGTCACAAACACTCTCCTGACTCACTGACTCCACATCTCTAAACCTCCTCTGACTTTAACATCAGCATGAAAACTGGGAACTGCGAGCTCCCTCTTTGGATGTCATCACATTGACATTTTTCATTTTTTATCATGAATCCCATCTCATTGTTGAAACTCACTTTTGGCTGGGCCTTGACCTCTTCTGTGCTCTTCTGTGTTGTGCCATCCGCTTCGCCAGAGGTTGTAGATAGGTAGGCAAATCGACCCATATCATATTATTGTGAAGATGAGCGTACTCCCTAAAATCCTCTTCTTATTTCAGAATATCCCTCTACCAGTACCTGTAGGTCTTTTTCTTAACTTAAAGAAAATTATTACCAATTTTATTTGGCAAAATCATCACCATTGGCTTCGGGTTAATTCTATTATATCTGCCATTTGACAGGGGTGGGCTTAAGGGTCCTAACTTTCAGTTGGACTATTGGGCTGCACAATTGCGCATGATGATATACTATTTCTCATCTGATCCACCTCCGGCATGGGTTTACATGGAACCGTTCTTACTTAATTCAGAATACTTTTTGACAGGTTGCCATGACCTGACAGTATAGCCACTGCAACAGGGGTTCCATGGTGTAATGGTTAGCACTCTGGACTCTGAATCCAGCGATCCGAGTTCAAATCTCGGTGGGACCTGATATTTGCGAGGTGAAACCATACTACATATCTTCTCTGGCACTTTGAATTTCTGTATGAATTGTGTTTTCAGTGAACGCTGTATAAAATCAAGCAGCTAACCATGCCTTTACAAAACACTTGTCAATCACTAAAGAGTAGTACTAAAGAGCTGTGTGAAATTCAGTTGCACACCACACAAAGTTACAGAGTAAAAGTCACAAACACGCTGCTGACTCAACAACTGTACAGCACTAAACCTCCTCTGTCTTTAACATCAAAAAACAAACAAGCATGAACATCGTGGTATTGGTTTCCATGGCTGAACAGCAGCTATGTGTTTTGTGAAGTATAATATTTATGTCTTCCAAAGTAAAGTTTTAAGCAACACTTGTTTTAAATCTGTAGCATGTGTAACAGCAGCATGCCATGAAAATTTGATGATAACACGTGCATGTTTATGGTCGCCAAACAATTATGTATGTAAACAACACTTATCTGACTAAACTACGTTGAGCTAATGCAGATTTTATTCTTATTTTATTGGTGAGGAGAGAGGATGGAACCAAAAATGCATTTATCCCCGTGTTCTGTGTTGATGAAAATCACCCAACAGGAAAGCAGCTGGGCATTCATTTGAAACCAGTTCACAGGTTGGGCTGTGGTTCCCCCTCTAGCGTCTCTGCTTGAACTTTCAACTGTGAACCTCTTAGATCCAACCTTCCCAACTGCTCATCTCGCAAAAGACAAAATAGAAGAACCCAGAATGTCTTTTTATACCTGCTCACGCTTTTTCACACTTCCCTCACAGGACGTCACATTTCACACTTTGGCCATCCAATCAAGTTGTTGACATCTAATCATTCCTGTCCACCACACCTGATCTTTCTATTTCGATCTGACTTACAACATTTAACACAAACTTTTAAATCAATATATTTTCTTAGTAATTATTTTTTATTTGCTTTCGTTTATCTTCAACATACAAGTCAGCAGCTGCTCGGGATTGTTCAAATACTCTCGAGTTTAGTATGTCAGGATGGCCGAGCGGTCTAAGGCGCTGCGTTCAGGTCGCAGTCTCCCCTGGAGGCGTGGGTTCGAATCCCACTTCTGACAATTTGAATCTTCGCACTTCTTTCTTACTGGTACTCATGGGTCTTTGATCAATGGTCATGAGAATTTGCATAATCATGATGAAGGAACTGACCTCCGAGCCCACTGTTCCTTCAGGGGGCTGCTTTCAGTCATTATGCAAATATACTGTTTATAAGATTGGGGAAACCTGCAGTCAGCTGAGACTGAAGAAGTCACTTGGATGAGTGACGAGACGTTTCTCCCACTGAAAACGCTACATCCAGATGAACAGAATCAACCTTCGGAGACTTCTTACTGTTGTGACAAAATACACTTGAAACTGGCAACTATGAGAGTTGTGCACTGTTCATCCCTGACAGCAGTGGATTTTGTAGTCATGCACAATGTAACAACATTCATAATTGTAATAAAATTCACTAGAGAGTAGATTTGTTCACACTGACACTGATGTGCTAAAAACCTGATTTTGTGAAGTCAAAACCTTCAGCAAGTTGAAACAATCTTTATCTTTTACTCCAACTATCCCAAAATAAGGACTGGTCCTTCCCATGTGATGGTATTAAAATATGAAAGGCTGTCATCATTTCAGATGTTTACTGTGTAAATGTTTGTTTGTTTGTTTGTTTTTTTGTTTTTACCTTGCCTTGCTTGGTATCATTCTTTTCAGCACAACCTCACGTGTCTGAATTTACAGTTATTTTTTCATTGACATATTGTATTAACACAACTGATCTGAAATCACACAAGAACATAAAATCCTAGTAGTGGTTATATTTTCTTCTTACTGTAAAAACCACAGACATGTTCAGTAAATTATCTTCATAACTTGAAATGCAAATAGAAATTGTACATTTTTAAAACGTATGCAAAGATTTTGTCCATAACTTTACAAATTTTGTGAACAACAAAGTTTTATACGACTATTAATCTTAAAATGCAGCCAATGCATCTGGCGTTCTTTTTCTTGTACAGCCATTTAAAAATACTACGACAATAATGCTGATATGATTTGTTGTGGTTCCACGGTGCAATGGTTAGCACTCTGAATCCAGCGAATCCAGTGGGATTTGCTTTTGGGATATGAAACCATAGTGTATGTCTTCTCTAGCACATTGTGCTTTCAGTCAGAGGTGTATAAAATCAAGCAGCTAATCATGACGTCTGCCTTTACAAAACACTTGTCAATCACTAAAGAGTTCCTTCACTTGTCAGTCACTATCTGATACTAAAAAGCTGTCTGAAATTCAGTTACAACCCACACAAAGTTACAGACTGGAGTATCCGAGTGCTGAGGTGCGCTTGTGCGCAAAAGTCACAAACACTCTGCTGACTCTCTAACCGCACAGCTCCAAACCTCTTCCGACCTCAAAGTCAGTACAGAAAGTGGGCGCCACGAGCTTCGTAGTATGTGTTTACATGGCTGAACAGCTGCTATATTCGAACAAACGCCTCCAGAGGAGACTGCGACCTGAACGCAGTGCCTTAGACCGCTTGGCGACCAAAAACCTGCACAAGTTATCATTACCTGACATGCAGTTTGGTTTCACCTCCCAAAAAACAGTCCCACCGAGATTTGAACTCAGATCACTGGATTCAAAGTCCAGAGTGCTAACCATTACACCATGGAACCTATGTCAAATTGCTTGAACTGTCAGGTCATGGCAACCTGCATAAAAGTATTCAGCCAAATGATCAGTATGGATGACATTGTAGATTATTCGCACTACGTTTCCATGGCTGAACAGCTGCTATATGTGTTATGAGAAGGATAATGTTTGTTTCTTCCAAAGTATCTAACAGTGGTAACCTCCACCAAACTGACACTGCAATGTCAGAATGGCCGAGCGGTCTAAGGTGCTGCGTTCAGGTTGCAGTCTCCTCTGGAGGCGTGGTTTTGAATCCCACTTCCGACATTGAAGCTTTACTCTTCTTGATATTGTGACAAAATGCTCTTGGGTTAACCACGAGCTTTCTAAAAACTTGCATATAACAATTGTGCACCATTCATTCCTCATCTTTGCTGCCCATCATTACAACTTTGCTAATAATGGGCTGCAGGTTAGTGTCATGATGTCACCTCAGACATAGTTAAAAGCCCTGTTAACGTAGCTGCTTCTCGCCGGGTGCGGTGGCGCGTGCCTGTCATCCAAGCTACTGGGAGGCTGAGGTTGGAGGATCGTTTGAGCTCAGGAGCTCTGAGCTGCAGCAGGCTGTGTCGATCGGGTGTCCGCGCTAAGTTCGGCATCGATATGGTGATCCTGGGGGAGCCCGGGACCACCAGGTCACCTAAGGAGGGGTGCACCGGCCCAGGTCGGAGACGGAGCAGGTCAAAGCCCCCGTGTCGCTCAGTAGTGGGATCGCACCTGTGAATAGATGCTGTAGCGCAGCCTGAGCAATACAGCGAGACTCAATCTTTATACACATCCTTATACCTGTCTCTACATCACAGAGCAGCCTCATCAGCATGTCTTGGTCTTTTTAATTCAAGTCCAAAACACTCACAAATCTGCTGCTCTGCTCGTCCTGCACCACCTCCTCCTGCAGGACAGCTGCAACTACATCCTCCACTCTAAACACGCCACCGCCCAGCAGGTGGAGACAAACTCAAAGTAGGACATTTCCTTGGTGAGGAGAGAGGATGGAACCAAAAATGCATTTATCCCCGTGTTCTGTGTTGATGAAAATCACCCAACAGGAAAGCAGCTCGGCATTCATTTGAAACCAGTTCACAGGTTGGGCTGTGGTTCCCCCTCTAATGTCTCTGCTTGAACTTTCAACTGTGAACCTCTTAGATCCAACCTTCCCAACTGCTCATCTCGCAAAAGACAAAATGGAAGAACCCAGAATGTCTTATTTTTTTAACCTAATTTTTATACTTGCTCACGCTTTTTCACGCTTCCCTCACAGGACGTCACATTTCACACTTTGGCCACCCAATCAAGTTGTTGACATCTAATCATTCCTGTCCACCCACACCTGATCTTTCTACTTCGATGTGACTTACAACATTTAACACAAACTTTTAAATCAATATATTTTCTTTGTAATTATTTTTTATTTGCTTTCGTTTATCTTCAACATACAAGTCAGCAGCTGCTCGGGATTGTTCAAATACTCGCGAGTTTAGTATGTCAGGATGGCCGAGCGGTCTAAGGCGCTGCGTTCAGGTCGCAGTCTCCCCTGGAGGCGTGGGTTCGAATCCCACTTCTGACAATTTGAATCTTCGCACTTCTTTCTTACTGGTACTCATGGGTCTTTGATCAATGGTCATGAGAATTTGCATAATCATGATGAAGGAACTGACCTCCGAGCCCACTGTTCCTTCAGGGGGCTGCTTTCAGTCATTATGCAAATATACTGTTTATAAGATTGGGGAAACCTGCAGTCAGCTGAGACTGAAGAAGTCACTA